CCTTGAAGGACCAGGTGCACAACCTGGGAGTCATTTTGGACTCCCAGCTGTCCATGGAGGCACAAATCTATGTCCAGGGCAGCTGTCTACCAGCTCCATCTGGTACGCAGACCAAGACCCTACCTGCCCGCAGACTGTCTCGCCAGAGTGGTGCATGCTCTGGTTATCTCCCGCTTGGACTACTGCAATGCGCTCTACGTGGGGCTACCTTTGAAGGTGACCACTGATTTTTTAAAAATATTTTATTTTAATTTTTTAACAGTGTTTTTATACATTCACATCGTTTTCAATTGTTACAGTCCTGGGATTACTTAGAACCCTTGGACTCCCCCCCCCCCCGTTTCCAAATTTTCCATATATATATGTGTGCATCTAATTACATTTTTCTGTGGGACGCGGGTGGCACTGTGGTCTAAACCACTGAGCCTTGGGCGTGCCGATCAAAAGGTCACGGTTTGAATCCCCGCAATGGGGTGAGCTCCCATTGCTCGGTCCCTGCTTCTGCCAACCTAGCAGTTTGAAAGCACGCCAGTGCAAGTAGATAAATAGGTACCACTCCGGCGGGAAGCTAAACGGCGTTTCTGTGTGCTGCTCTGGTGTTGGTGTTCTGTTGCACCAGAAGCGGCTTAGTCATGCTGGTCACATGACCCGGAAAAACTGTCTGCGGAGTGGACAAACTGCCTGATATACGTTTTTAAAATGTTGTAGGCGGAAGTGAGACAACCTTGATAGTCGATGTGGATCCCAACTCTGCGCTGGAGTAATTAAATAAGCTGCTAGATCGTTTGCATATGGAAGATGCAAAACTCAGAATGGCTTTTTATTACCCTAAGGAAGGGTGGTAAGGGCTTATGTCAGCAGGTATTTGCTCTCACATCTTAAACTGTTCTTACTGAGATTGTTTAAGCCTGCTGCTCTCCAGTAGGTTTCCTGCTGTATAAATCGGCTAAGCCCTTTGTGGGGTGAGAGTTGTTCCCAATATATGGGAATGGCTAATTCTGCACAACAAAGTTACAAACTGTATCGTGCAACAATATCTCGTACAAATGAGCTGGTGTGGTAGCTGAGCTGCTAAGATGGGGGATATAGAGGGCATATTAGTCGACATCATGGGTAGGAAAACTAAGGCCCGGGGACCGGATCCAGCCCAATTGCCTTCTAAATCCAGCTTGTGGATGGTCCGGGAATCAGCGTTGTTTTTACATGTATAGAATGTGTCCTTTTATTTAAAATGCATCTCTAGCTTATTTGTGGGGCCTGCCTGGTGTTTTGACATGAGTAGAATGAGTGCTTTTATTTAAAATGCATCTCTGGGTTATTTGTGGGGCATAGGAATTCGTTTACCCCCCCCCCCAAAAAAAATATATAGTCCGGCTCCCCAAGGTCTGAGGGACAGTGGACCGGCTCCCTGCTGAAAAGGTTTGCTGACCCCTTGTCTACACCAAGGATGGAGTACTTGTGGACCTTCAGATGTTAGATTCCTAACCCACATCAGCCCAGCATGGCCTGCAGTCAACAATTTCTGGAATTGCGTTAACCATTCCTTCTTTGCAAGATTGTTTGCGTTCCTAAGCAAGCACTAAAGGTATTTCAGCTAGGTGGCCCAACTTTGGTCAAAGTTGGATTTGTTCTGTATCTCCCATTGCATCTGCAAATGAATTTGTGGAATAAATTCAATGTGTAAAACACGCGGAGTTTCAACAATAGTGGCCACCCACCCAACTTTACTATCTAACCATCAAGTTAGGAAGAAGGGCTCTCTTTGTTCAATTACCCAACTCTTGCCAACATTACAGATCTCGACAGCAAAGAATTAGAGGTCAGATGGAAGAGAAAAATATGGGCTATAACGATAATAAACAAAATGAACTATGAACAACACGGTGAGATGTAAGCCACTTGGAGACGGCAGGAGACATTCCATAGAGGTATTTAGAAAAGGTAAAAGGTAAAGGACCCCTGGACGGTGAAGTCCAGTCAAAGACGACTATGGGGTTGCAGCACTCATCTTGCTTTCAGGCCGAGGGAGCTGGCGTTTGTCCACAGACAGCTTTCTGGGTCATGCGGCCAGCGTGACTAAACCACTTCTGGTGCAATTCAACACTGTGACGGAAACCAGAGCGCACAGAAGCGCTGTTTACCTTCCTGACACAGCGGTACCTATTTATCTAGATAGATAGATAATTTATTACAATCAAAGACCAGCTCACATAACATAACACAGTAAAAACAGCGTTCATAAAGTTAACATATACAAACGGAGCAGATTGCAGCAATAGCTCATGAGTTAAAATTGAGATATATACATACACCCGTACAACTGAGATTTGGGCTACCATAAAAAATTGACCCTGAGGCGCCCCAAAGGGCAACTTCAGCATTTCCCTGGTAAGTTATTTTATTCTAGAGGATGATCTGTGCCTACAAATCTGGGTGCAGAATCTGGCTGTCAGCCATCTTGTCTTATGATCTTTGCCTAAGAGGAGAGAATTAAGTTTGTTGTGTTGCTGTTTAGTCGTTTAGTCATGTCCGACTCTTCGTGAACCCATGGACCAGAGCACGCCAGGCACTCCTGTCTTCCACTGCCTCCCGCAGTTTGGTCAAACTTCGAGAACACTATCCAACCATCTCGTCCTCTGTCATCCCCTTCTCCTTGTGCCCTCCATCTTTCCCAACATCAGGGTCTTTTCCAGGGAGTCTTCTCTTCTCACGAGGTAGCCAAAGTATTGGAGCCTCAGCTTCAGGATCTGTCCTTCCAGTGAGCACTCAGGGCTGATTTCCTGCAGAATGGATCGGTTTGATCTTCTTGCAGTCCATGGGACTCTCAAGAGTCTCCTCCAGCACCATAATTCAAAAGCATCAATTCTTCGGCGATCAGCCTTCTTTATGGTCCAGCTCTCACTTCCATACCTTAGAGGTATTTATATCAAGCTAGGCACACAGGGGTCTCCTAACAACTCTTAGCACCTTTAGCAAAACTACAGTTCCCAGAATTCTTGGGGGGGAGCCATGACTGTTTAACGTGGTATGATAACTGCTTTAAATATATAGTGCATTGCTTTGAGTAAACTCAAAGCAAAAATTTGCAGAAAAATGGGATGGTTATAGAAGATATGTTCAAAAATACAATAATAGTTTTGACTCCATACTAGAATTTGAGTGATAAAGGAACTAAAAGGAGGTGGGCAACAATTAAGGATTTATTATGTTTTCAGAATGTATTGAAAAAATTATATAGAAAGGTTTATTGTTTTGTGTACATTTGATATGTACATATTGATGTATGTAATTTTTATTTCTTAATTATATTTAGTGGTAGTATGGTTGTATTGTTTTTTGTAGAATAAAATCATGTAATAAAAATTATATATATATATATATATATATATATATATATATAGTGCAGATGTGACCTGCAGGAGCACAAGATGGCCTCTTCGGCTGACCTGAGTAAACAGGCAGACTCCTCTGTGAAAGAGGTAGCAGCCACGGGTGTCTATTTTTTTGCCATGGGGCAGGGCAGGGAGACTGCCTCTCTCCCCTCTCGCACTGTGCTAATCTCTAGCAAGGGCAGGCTGCCTTGCCAGTAGCAGGTACATTCTCTGCAGCCATAAAACCTCTTCTTTATGACGCAGCCCACCAGCCATTCAATGACATGACTGTAATGGCTCTTTTATCAAAACTGGAGATGTGTGTGACCTTCAATTTTTCTTTCTTTTCCTTTTTTTTAAAAAAACCTTTTTCGAACAGGCGCTGTATCTGTTGTGCTGTCTTCAGTATCGCCAAGCATTTATTTCTGGTGCGTTGAAAGCGCCAGGGATGGGGCCCCGGAGTGTGTCAGGTGGAAAATGAATCAAGAAGCAGAGCATTCTTCACAATGGCGGCTATTTTGACAAGTGTGAGAGAGACAATGTTTGCTTCGTGATTGCTCTGTGCAGCTCTTAATGTTTCCATGGTTTTATATTCCTGTATACTAGCACAGCGATATTTTATGAGACAGCAGCATATAAATCCTTTTATAATTATAAGAAAAACATATATGCTGAGGTGAGATTTGGAGACTTCCTGGTTCTCATCAACATTCTCTCTCTCTCTCTCTCTCTCTCTCTCACACACACACACACACACACACACAATGATGCTCACACACAGACCTATCTGTTTAGGCGAGTCTCTCAGCAATCCACCCTGCTGTTTCCTCTCCAGGAAAAGCTTTCTTTTCTTTATTCCGCAAAAAATTATATCTGCAATAAAACCTCCCTGTGGTTTACAAGGAGAATGAATCATTTAAATTATCAATAAGCGGCAGCTGAAGGCAAGGTGTTTAAAACATTAGAAGCGGAACTGAAATCGATAGTCAGCTAAAACGCAATTAAAACCCATGTGAACTTTTTGGCACGTCTGGATTGGCTTTTGCCTAAACGGAAGGATTTGAAGGAGGTGCTGAGTTCAGATGGTGCCTACTGGCTGTCAATAGGCAGGGAGTTTCCAAGTAGGCACTGCCACCCTAATAGTTTGATTCCTTACGAGTACAGAATGATTATTACCGTATTTTTCGCCCCATAGGACGCACCGGCCCATAGGACGCACCTAGTTTTTTGGGGGGAAATAAAGGAAAAAATTTTTTATTTCCCCCCAGGTGCGCTGTGCTAAGCCCGAAGCTTGGGGCCCCAACCGAAGCTTGGGGCGTGCGGAGCTCAGCGCGCCCCAAGCTTCTGGGTGCCGGCAAGGTCTCTGCTAGCCCTGGGAGAGCCGCGCGACTTCGCACGGCTCTCCCACAGCTAGCGGACCGCTGCGCTAATCCCGAAGCTTTGGGCTTGCGGAGCTCAGCACGCCCCAAGCTTCTGGGTGCAGGCAAGCTCTCCGCTAGCCATGGGAGAGCTGGGTCTCCCACGGCTAGCGGATAGCTTCCTGAAGCCTGGAGAGCGAGAGGGGTCGGTGCGCACCGACCCCTCTCGCTCTCCAGGCTTCAGCGAAAGCCTGCATTCGCCCCATAGGACGCGCACACATTTCCCCTTCATTTTTGGAGGGGGGAAAGTGCGTCTTATAGGGCGAAAAATACGGTATATGTGTTGTGTTGCCTCTCCCCGTGTTTCCAAAGGAGGAGCCAGCAGCCCACAAATTTCCCAACATCTCCATCCCTTCAGGAATGTGGGCGGTGCCATACAGAGAGGTGGAAAAATAAAGGCTGCTGTGATATAAAGCTGAAGTTTCCTGGTCCAGCCCAGTATGTTGCAAACACTCGCTTGTTTCCTTAGTGCTTGAGCATCAGGAAGGAACCAAGAGACGAGGCAGAATCCACACACAGAGCTGTCTTCCAACCTCTTTTCAGGATGTGGAGGGAACTGCGGATGGTGGCTTTCTACCGGGCTGTCTTTGCAGAAATCCTGGCCACAGCCATCTTTGTTTTCTTCGGCCTGGGCTCGGAGTTGAATTGGCCAGAGAAGCCCTCTGTCCTGCAGACTGCCATCACCTTCAACTTGGCCGCAGCCACCGCTGTCCAGATCGCCTGGCATACCAGTGGATCCCACCTCAACCCAGCAGTGACCTTGGCCTTCCTGCTTGGCTCTCGCATATCGTTGGCGAGGGCAGCCTGCTATATGCTTGCCCAGATGGTCGGAGGCATTGTCGGAGCAGCCGTCCTTTACGAGGTGACTCCTGAGGACATACGAGGAACTTTAGGCACCAGTACGGTACGTCTGTCTCCTTTTCTGTCTTCTGAATGTTTGCCGTCGTCAGGAAAGGCGAGGATGAGGCAAGGCCTGTCTAAAACAGCCAGTCTGTACCTGGGATGTTTCTGTTACATTTTAAAAAAAATATATATTTCATTAGAAGAATGTCATTCTTAAAAAGAGAAGAAAGGTGAGAAAAGGAAGGAAGGAAAAGGAAGGAAGGACAAGAAAGAAAGAATATGGTTACATCACCATACCTTAATATACAGATGTGTGTATTTATGGTCCAGCTCTCACTTCCATACATCACTACTGGGAAAACCAAAGTTTAGTTATAAGGACCTTTGTTGGCAAGGTGATGTCTCTGCTTTTTAAGATGCTGTCTAGGTTTGTCATTGCTTTTCTCCCAAGAAGCAGGCGTCTTTTCATTTCGTGGCTGCTGTCACCATCTGCAGTGATCATGGAGCCCAAGAAAGTAAAATTTCTCACTGCCTCCATTTCTTCCCCTTCTATTTGCCAGGAGGTGATGGGACCAGTGGCCATGATCTTGGTTTTTTTGATGTTGAGCTTCAAACCATATTTTGCACTCTCCTCTTTCACCCTCATTAAACCCTCATTAAAAGGTTCTTTAATTCCTCCTCACTTTCTGCCATCAATGTTGTCTCATCTGCATATCTGAGGTTGTTGATATTTCTTCTGGCAATCTTAATTCCATAAATCTAAGAGATTGGCAGCTTTGGTGATGGTATACCGTGGTCCCACGAAAGCTCTTTCACTATTTCCTCTTCCTCCTCCCCAGGTGAGGGTCAACGTCTCATCCGGACAAGCTGTGTCTATTGAGCTCATTTTGACATTGCAGCTGGTTCTAAGCTATCTTGTGTCCACCGATAGCAGCCGAAACAAAGGTTCTCCAGCTATCATGATTGGTGTCTCCGTTGCCCTGGGACACTTAATTGGGGTAAGTGGAGGACCTGGGGCTTTTTAAAAACTACAGGGGATCTGATGAGCAAAGGAAGAAGTAGCTCTTGCTGATGACCAACTAATCTGTAGAATGCTGGAAGGAGATGCTCAAATTACACAGAGTACTCCTGTCCAATGCAAAATAAAAATCAGAAGGGAAAGTTATGTTTAACTAGGTGCTCATTAAAGAGCTGAATGCTCTTTAGAAGCAAGGTGTTAGGTAAAGGTAATGGACCATTAGGTCCAGTCGTGGCCGACTCTGGGGTTGCGGCACTCATCTCGCTTTACTGGCCGAGGGAGCCGGCGTACAGCTTCCGGGTCATGTGGCCAGCAGGACTAAGCTACTTCTGGCGAACCAGAGCAGCGCACGGAAACGCCGTTTGCCTTCCCGCTGGAGCGGTACATATTTATCTACTTGCACTTTGATGTGCTTTCGAACTGCTAGGTTGGCAGGAGCAGGGACCGAGCAACGGGAGCTCACCCCATCGCGGGGATTCGAACCGCCAACCTTCTGATCGGCAAGTCCTAGGTTCTGTGGCTTAACCCACAGCACCACCCAAGTTTAAATAGGAAACGTGTTAATTTTCTGACAAACCGCCCAGGTTTACTGGAGGGATTGGTTTATAAATTGCACACAGAGGCAGTGGTAAATGGCAATTTTGTTTTGTTGTTTTGTTTTATTGGGGGAATAGTGGCAGCAGGCAGGCCCAAGGCATCTTCACACCCACCCCATGGCGCCCCTGAGTGGCAGTAAGAATGAGCCCCAAAATCCTATGATCATTAGTATTATGGGCCTCCCCGACTGAGAACTTATAGACATAATCTAGATATGGGTTAACTCTCTAATGGGTGAGATCCTGGAGAGCACCTTACCCAAAGAGTGCAGAGAACACCACAGATTGCAGCGTGTGGATCTTCCAGACATGTGCAGAACTAATGTGAGCCCATTGATTAGAAGAGAGGGGAAGCACAGCAGCAATTCTGCCAGTAGCCTAACCTACTCCATTCTCAGAAGTCAGTCACGAGGTGGGGAACCTACAGAGGGGTCTTCTGATCAGGGCCGGATTTAGTCCGGAGGCCCGTTCGCAACCTGAAAAGAACACAACCCGCGTCTGCGCACGTGCGGGTTGCGATTCACCACTTCTGCGCAGGCACGTGACATCATTTTGCGCATCTGCGCATGAGCGAGCGACGAAACCCAGAAGTAACCCTTTTTGGTACTTCCAGGTCACCGCGGGACGCAACCTGAAGCAAACGTAACATGTGGTATGACTGTATATAGAAAAGAGCAAACCAGTGATATTTTAGGGAGCAGGCTAGCAAGCGGAGCCCATTACTTACATCACAGGACCCTACACAACACAAAACACTGTTGCTGCTTGTAGGTTTTATTTTATTTGTTTTTTATCTTATATTTTGGAAATGTACATCCAGGTTTTTTTCCCTTTACATTTTTGGGGGGCCCCAAGAAAGGGGGGCCCTAAGCTACAGCTTGTTTAGCTTGTACATAAATCCGGCACTGCTTCTGATGACTCCAGTCCTAATGAGTAAGGGCTCATCCGGACTTCCTATTCTGCCACATTCCTAGGCACAGGTCCAAGCTTTAAAGTGTTGTGTCCAGCGTTTTCCCTGTGAACACCCACTCTTTATCTCTAAATTGGAACAAATGGTAATCTGCGGGGAACTGCTGTTTGCTCCGATTTAGCATTAAAGAATGAATTTTCATGGGGGAAAGCGCGCGCGGGGGGGGGACGGACGATGACAACACAAAAAGAAGCACACACCTGTGCCTAGAAAGCATATGGCAAAACGTAATTGTGGATGAGCCCTGACTGTAGGTGACTTGTAGAAATCTGGATCCGGGGACCTGCTATAGCAGGGATGGGGAACCTGTGGCCCTTCAAGTTGTTTGTGAGAATCTAGCTCCCATCAGCCTCAGCCAGCATGGCCAGTGGTAAGGAGTGATGGGCACTGCAGTTCACCAATATCTGGAGGGCTGCAGGATCTCCATCCCTGAGCTCTTGGCATGTTTGTTTTCTCCAAAATTATTGCAGCTCGAAGTGGTGCATCTGATGCCCTTCACTTTATGGAGATTCAGAGAAGGGGGGAGGATGAACCCTGCAAAATATGCTTGTCCAGACACATCTCTTCCCATTTCTCCTTCCTAGCATTACTACACCACCTGTTCCATGAATCCAGCCAAATCCTTTGGCCGTTCAGTTGTCGTCGGGAATTTTACAAAGCAATGGGTAAGTCGCCTCCTTTCTGACCCTTTTGCCCCTGTTACCTTGAAGCCAGAAGGGAGCAGGGATTGTGTCCATGGGGTGGAGATTCAGCCACCACCTGGGATGGCCCAAGGCCTAAAAGAGGCCCCGATTCTCCTCACAGAACCTATATAGGAGAGTCTATGTGATATTGAGCGACAGAATTATCTGGCCACAATAAGGAAATTTTATCCATGGTATGATTATTGTCCACCTAGTCATTTGACACTCCGGCACCCTATTTGCAAAATTTAACTATTCCAAAATACAGAGGCGCTTTCACTTTCGCAAGATTGAATATACAGTACTGCCTTTGGCTGTACTTGAGGGTCGATTTCAAAAAAATCCCCTGGAAAAACAGTTAAATGTATGGGATGAATGTGGCCTAATTTACCTGGATCAGGGCCCCTTCCTTTCATTATGATTCTTTTCTACCCCTATGAAGTGGGAACAAGTGATGTTTTGGGTAAATGAACTGCAGCCTCCTCTAGCCTCCCATCAGCACAAACTGTTTCTTCTCTTTGTCCCTGCAGATATTCTGGGTGGGGCCACTGATTGGTGCAATCCTGGCCTTTGTGTTTTATTCCTTTGTCCTTCACCACGACCCAAAGACCTTTGCGGAACGACTGGCTATTCTCAGGGGCAGCTATGATGCAGAACCTTCGGAGAAGGAGAAAGACCAGCCGACAGACTCTGTATCTCTGCCCATGCCCAGCCTTGTACATAGACTCTAGACTCCTAGGAGCATGCCATGGAAGAACATTGATGGTTTCTCCTGTTTTTAGGAAGGACTAAGTGAGAAACTACTCTTCCCTCTCTGGCCACGAGAGGGCCCCAAGTGCCTTTTCTCTCAAATCTGAAGTCAGATTGCATATGCACGGTGCCAAATTTGCAACGACTCTTTTAGCAAGAGGAACGCCAGACAATAGGAATGGATCTGTGGTGTTGTATGGCCAGCAGGAGTCGCTGCGTTAACATGCATATGCAATGCAGGGGAAGGGCAGAGAGGAAGCCAGTTCAGAGGCCCATCGCTTGCGGCGCCCAGTGACTGTGAACGCTGGCAGCTAAGGTAGCAATGATGGTGTTCTCGAGGTTTAAGTCTGCCGTCATCTATGCAAAACCAACTAGACCAGGCTTCCTCAACCTCGGCCCTCCAGATGTTTTTGGCCTTCAACTCCCATGATCCCTAGCTAGCAGGACCAGTGGTCAGGGATGATGGGAATTGTCGTCTCAAAACATCTGGAGGGCCGAGGTTGAAGAAGCCTGAACTAGACTGTGAGCAGTAGGCTCTCGACTCGCAGACTTTTCAAGTGTCCCAGGGACAGTCCCAGATTTACAGAAGCTAACCCGGTTTCTGATTTGATCCCAGAATGTCCCACTTTCCCTTAGGGCAACCCTATTTGCATTGGAGACACGTTGGAGGGGATGTGACTTCCGATGGGGCCTCAGTTGACAAGGGTGGCGCTGTGGTCTAAACCTTTGAGCCTCTTGGGCTTGCCGATCAGGAGGTTGGCGGTTCGAATCCCCACGGCGGGGTGAGCTCCCGTTGCTCTGTCCCAGCTCCTGCCAACTCCTGCTCCTGCCAACCTAGCAGTTTGAAAGCACCCCAGCTCCTGCTCCTGCCAACCTAGCAGTTTGAAAGCACGCCAGTGCAAGTAGATAAATAGGCACCACTACAGCAGGAAGGTAAACGACGTTTCCATGAGCTCTGGCTTGCGTCACGGTGTTCCATTGCGCCAGAAGCGGTTTAGTCATGCTGGCCACATGACCCAGAAAGCTGTCTGTGGACAAACGCCTGAAAACGAGATGAGCACCGCTACCCCATAGTCGCCTTTGACTGGATTTAACTGTCCAGGGGTCCTTTACCTTTACCTTTTACCTCTACTGATGCAGTCACCCACCATATAAATCACCACAGATTGTACATGGTGCAAGCTCATACATTCTACTGAGCGCACCAGTCCCTTTCCTTAGCTTACTGTCAAAGAAGCATCAGGGATGCTCTTAGCTATGGGTGTTTATTGCCATCATTGGTAGTCTTTCGCACCTGCTGTGCTCTTCATGACTCCATGTATGCAATGCTAGCCATGCTCAGCAGAGATCCATTGAAATTAATGGCCATGACTAACTAAGGTTTACTAATTTCAGTGGGCCTACCCTGGGAAAAACTTAGGTGGGTACAACACTACATTTCCAAAGTACTTCCAGAAGGAGCATATCTTTACGGGATGCCATGACCTTATCACAGCAGCAAATGGAGTGATTTTCTAGTCGTAAGACCTTTACTGCTGGCACGGCAGAAGGACAACGATTGAAGGAGGTTCTGCTGTATACTTTGCTGTGCATAATATAAGCCAGTGAAGCCGAATATTCAGGGAAAAGAAGGGGGGAATTAAAGCACCGTGGGTTAAACCACAGAGCCTAGGACAGAAGGTCAGCGGTTCGAATCCCTGCGACAGGGTGAGGTCCCATTGCCCGGTCTCTGCTCCTGCCAACCTAGCAGTTCGAAGGCACATCAAAAGTGCAAGTAGATAAATAGGTACCACTCCGGTGAGAAGGTAAACAGTGTTTCCGTGCTCTGGTTCACCAGAAATGGCTTAGTCATGCTGGCCACATGACCCGGAAGCTGTACGCCGGCTCCCTCGGGCAATAAAGCGAGATGAGCGCCGCAACCCCAGAGTTGGTCATGACTGGACCTAATGGTCAGGGGTCCCTTTACCTTTACCTTTTATCACACAAAGAGACTTAATATGAAATAAAAAAACCCAGTCTAAATTAGCTAGTTGCATGTTATATACTTAAGCAAAGGCAGTGAAGTATAGGTGGGTTCCCACGAGGCAAGACGCAGTGATAACAGCAAGAACCTTTGTTTAACTAACAGAACTGGGCAACAGGGGCAAAGCAACTGCTTATATACATTTCTGAAAGCCTGGGCCACTCCCACTCCCAACGTGATTGGCTATCTAAACTTCCAAGCTGCGAATCATAACTCAAGAGTTTAAGGGCCAATAGCAGAGGCCCAAATCCTGAATTGTTCTGTGATTGGATATCATGTATCGAATCAGAACACAGGGCTCAGAATCCTTAGTCCAGGCTCAAGCTCAGGCAAACACAGACCACTGAATACATAACAGGTGGGTTTCAGAGCACGAACAGAGTTTCTCACAGAAAGTATGGTCTGACTGAGTACCTTTTCAGAATCCTGGTTAGTTGATTTCAAGAGACCGAAACCTGAGAGTGAAGCCTCTCATTTTTATGGGAAATCTGAGAAGTAATACCAAAAGGGTCCTTTACAGAGGTAGACTATTGTTTTGTTGGTGAGTTATTCTCAGTCTCTGATGGTCTCTGTGGCCAATCAGCACTTTATTTAGAAGCTAGATCAACCACCTTATAAACCCTGCACTTAAAAGGGCTAGCCAGTTCTGACTAGAATCAATGTAAAAAAAAGGAAGGGTAGATTATCTTGAGGGTGTTTGTTGGGGAATCAAAACAAAACAAAACAGGATGTCTTTCTGTTGCAGACTTCCAGAGAACTGGCCTGATTGGAGATCTTTTAGGGGACACTGCTGATCTTTATAGGAATATAGGATTTGTCATTCTGCCTTCCACCCAGTGAGAAAATAAAGTGCTGTAATTAGTGCTGTATTTGTCCATTGTCCCTCCAGAATAATAATAATACAGTAATAATAATTTATTATTTATACCCCGCCCATCTGGCTGAGTTTCCCCAGCCACTCTGGGCGGCTTCCAATCAAGTCTTAAAAACAATACAGCATTAAATATTAAAAACTTCCCTAAACAGGGCTGCCTTCAGATGTCTTTTAAAAAGAAGATAGCTGCTTATTTTCTTCACATCTGAAGGGAGGGCGTTCCATAGGGCGGGCGCCACTACCGAGAAGGCCCTCTGTCTAGTTCCCTGTAACCTCACTTCTCGCAACGAGGGAACCGCCAGAAGGCCCTCAGCGCTGGATCTCAGTGTCCGGGCTGAACGATGGGGGTGGAGACGCTCCTTCAGGTTTACTGGACCAAGGCTGTTTAGGGCTTTAAAGGTCAGCACCAACACTTTGAATTGTGCTCGGAAACGTACTGGGAGCCAATGCAGATCTCTCAGGTCTCGGTTATGTGGTCTCGGCAGCTGCTCCCAGTCACCAGTCTAGCTGCCGCATTCTGGATTAATTGCAGTTTCTGGGTCACCTTCAAAGGTAGCCCCACGTAGAGCGCATTGCAGTAGTCCAAGCGGGAGATAACTAGAGCAGGCACCACTCTGGTGAGACAGTTCGCGGGCAGGTGATCCAGACTCTGCTGAGAGAGACCTCAAAGGCTGGGGATGATGTTTCCCTCCAAACACAGCACATAGAAATGCAAGTTCCATCCCCACTTCTGTGCACCCAGATATCCCTGCAAGATGCTGGCAAACCCTCCATGTTATGATGGCCACCTTATTTCCATCTGTTTGCTTTCAGCCATTTCCTGATACACATAATGGAGCAGGCAAAGCTTTTAATGGCACAGTGATAAGTGCCGGGAGAGACACTTCACTGTCTTAATTTCTGTGTGTCAGGAAACTGCTAAAAACGCAGGAGTCGTGCCTGTGTTGTTAAGCTTGCGGCATTCGTCTCCTGCCAATCGCGGTGAAGGGTGTTTTGCTAGAACGCAGCACTCAAGACATTTAGAAGATGGGATCTCAAGACAATGTTGCTGTTTACATAACAGCAAGACTCACAGCCATTGGGCATTTCAGTTTCTGTTGCATTCCCACAGAATATTAGGTCTTGGCTGGGCTGGGTTTTGCCTGAGGGTAGATATATTCCTTCTAAAATGAGCAAATGCTTTGCTTTGGAATCAAAATGGCCAAGGGCTGGAGCAAACCCCATATGAGGAAAGATACGAACTTTTGACACTTTTCTGTTGAGGGACATGATGTTGTTGTTGTTTAGTCGTGTCCGACTCTTCGTGACCCCCTGGACCAGAGCACGCCAGGCCCTCCTGTCTTCCACTGCCTCCCACAGTTTGGTCAAACTCATGCTGGTAGCTTTGAGAACACTGTCCAACCATCTCGTCCTCTGTCGTCCCCTTCTCCTTGTGCCCTCCATCTTTCCCAACATCAGGGTCTTTTCCAGGGAGTCTTCTCTTCTCATGCAGTGGCCAAAATATTGGAGCCTCAGCTTCAGGATCTGTCCTTCCAGTGAGCACTCAGGGCTGATTTCCTTCAGAATGGATAGGTTTGATCTTCTTGCAGTCCATGAGACTCTCAAGAGTCTCCTCCAGCACCATAATTCAAAAGCATCAATTCTTCGGTGATCAGTCATCTTTATGGTCCAGCTCTCACTTCCATACATCACTACTGGGAAAACCATAGCTTTTACGATACGGACCTTTGTTGGCAAGGTGATGTCTCTGCTTTTTAAGATGCTGCCTAGGTTTGTCATTGCTTTTCTCCCAAGAAGCAGGTGTCTTTTAATTTCGTGGCTGCTGTCACCATCTGCAGTGATCATGGAGCCCAAGAAAGTAAAATCTCTCACTGCCTCCATTTCTTCCCCTTCTATTTGCCAGGAGATGATTGGCCAGTGGCCATGATCCTTTTTTTTTTTTTTTTTTTGGATGTTGAGCTTCAGACCATATTTATATTTTGCGCTCTCCTCTCTCACCCTCATTAAAAGGTTCTTTAATTCCTCCTCACTTTCTTGCCATCAAGGTTGTGTCATCTGCATTCTGAGGTTGTTGATATTTCTTCGGCAATCTTAATTCCGGCTAGGGATTCATCCAGCCCAGCCTTTCGCATGATGAATTCAGGATATAAGTTAAATAAGCAGGGATTAGGCAAGGTGTGGGAAAATGGAGAAAGTGGTTTTCCCTTTGCCTCTTGTAATACTAGAATCAACCCAGCCAGATGGGCGGGGTATAAATAATAAAATTATTATTATTATTAAGTTCCACATGGACAGTGATACTGGAGACAATACAGCCATCATGACTACTAGGGTTAACTTCCATGAACTTGTCTCATTCTCTTTGAAAAACAAGTTGGTTCTCTTCACGGCATCTTGCAGCAGTAAATTCAGCTATACAGCTGCAGAAGTACCGTGTTTAGTGTGTTTTAAGTGCATTATACAAATCTGACACTAGATGGCGAGCTTATGGCAAATTCAATATATTTTTAAAAACTTTTTTTTTTTAAAGCATTTTCACACTTTTTTATATGCGTCTGGATTCCACCTTAGTTTAACTGGCCAATGTGTGTGAAGAAGTATGTTATTTTGTTTATTATAAAGGGGCTTCATAGCAACTGTATAATAATTTTATTATTTGTATCCCCAGCTGCCCTGGGCTGCTCCATGTTCTTTTCACCACCAGGATATAACAGAGAAAATATGGTTAGAAAAGGATACTGGCTCCTTTACCAAAAAGAGAAATCATTCATCTTGATATGATTCAGAGCAGTTTGAAAGAATAAAGACAGCCCTTCCTAAAATCCATATAATCAATGTCAATAAGGGGAAGCATGTTCGCTTTTGAGGCCGCCCGAATGCCAGCCTTCATTTCGCGATCCACTTACAACCTCTCGCCCCCCGCTTTGTAGATTTCTCTTTTCTTACAAGGCCAGAGTCCTGTTGAGACAGCTTTTGCATGGAATTGAAATTTCATTTGCCCTATTGACAGCAGGAACGGTCCGGGGGCACGAGGACGTTCCGATTGCAGACAATTTATCTCTGGCTGCAAATTCACCCGCTGTCTTCCCAGCTTAGTTCATGTTACAAAAATGACAGCCCATTTCTTTGGAATGATTAAGAAAATAGACTTTTTTGTCAAGTGGCTTGCACCTCTGCCCTCCCTCCAGCGGCACGTTCCTACAAATTCCTTATGCTGTGCCATTCCAATGAAAAATTATTTTTGCTGTTAGTCCAGTTGGTCCAGCTGGAAAGCGTTTTTGCAAAAATATGTCTCTTCTGTGTGCTGGCTGTAACCACTCCCAGTCCATGCCTTTGTTTTGTTTCTGTTGATGCTCAAAGGCCAGATACCCGGGGGGGGGCAGTGTGGTGTAGTGGTTAAGAGCGGTAGACTCGTAATCCGGTGAACCGGGTTCGCGTCTCCGCTCCTCCACATGCAGCTGCTGGGTGACCTTGGGCCAGTCACACTTCTCTGAAGTCTCTCAGCCTCACTCACCTCACAGAGTGTTTGTTGTGGGGGAGGAAGGGAAAGGAGAATGTTAGCCGCTTTGAGACTCCTGAAGGGGAGTGAAAGGCGGGATATCAAATCCAAACTCTTCTTCTGAGAGAGCCAGTGTGGTGTAGTGGTTAAGAGCGGTGGACTCGTAATCTGGTGAACCGGGTTTGCTTCCCCGCTCCTCCACATGCAGCTGCTGGGTGACCTTGGGCCAGTCACACTTCTCTGAAGTCTCTCAGCCCCACTCACCTCACAGAGTGTTTGTTGTGGGGGAGGAAGGGAAAGGAGATGTTAGCCGCTTTGAGACTCCCTAAGGTAGTGATAAAGCGGGATATCAAATCCAAACTCTTCTTCTTCACACAGTCTCTAGAAGCCAACTGAAGTCCTAGCACATTCTTGCTGCCCCTCCAAGTCTGCTTTTCCCAATGTGGTACCCTCCAGATATCTTTTTTGTAAAAAAAAGACTACAACTCCCATCATCCCTGGCATTCTGCCGCCTTGGCTGTGGCTGATGGGAGTTGTAGTCCAAAACATTGTGGGGGGGGCACCAGGGTGGGGGAGGCTGCTCCAAGAGCTGGAGAGACTGAGGTTAAGTAAGTGGAAGGCCCCGTCCTCTGCATAAGGAAACAGGGCTTGAAGGCAATTCTCTTCTCTGCTGGCTCGACAGCATAGAATTGTGGCGTTGAAAGGGACCACGAGGGTCATCTAGTCCAACCCCCTGCAATGCAGTAATCTTTGGCTCAAGGTGGGACTCAAACCCAGAACCCTGAGATTAAGAATCTCATGCTCTACCAGGTCTGATTTGCATTAGGGCCGGATTTAGGTTTGATGAGGCCCTAAGCTACTGAAAGCCTTTGTCCTTAACAAATTGTCGCTGTTTTTTGTGTGTTGAATATATGCTACATGGTAATTTATGGACCTAATAGGTATCCTAAGCCATAATGGGATCAAAATAAATAAATTATGTATTCCATGAAATCAATCAGTAGGCATAAGACTCATACCCTTAGTCTATGCTGCCTAGTCATCAGTATACAAGCACTCTTTAATTTTAGATAACAGGTACAACAGCAGTCTGCAGCTGCATGCTACATGTTGCCATGCAACCGGTCCATGCAGAATGTAGGCACCCTACACAGTGGTACCTCAGGTTACATACACTTCAGGTTACATACGCTTCAGGTTACAGACTCCGCTAACCCAGAAATAGTGCTTCAAGGTTAAGAACTTTGCTTCAGGATGTGAACAGAAATCATGCTCCGGCGGCGCGGTGGCAGCAGGAGGCCCCATTAGCTAAAGTGGTGCTTCAGGTTAAGAACAGTTTCAGGTTAAGTACAGACCTCCAGAACGAATTAAGTACTTAACCTGAGGTACCACTGTATATAGAAATGAGCAAACCAGTGATATTTTAGGGAGCAGGCTAGCACTACTTACAGTACATCATAGGAGCTGAAACAACACAAAACACTGTTGCTGTATGTAGGTTTTATTTTATTTGTTTTTTATCTTATATTTTGGAAATGTACATCCAGTGCTTTTTTCTTTTAATTTTTTGCCCGCCCCCCCCCCCCCAAGAGAGTGGAGCCCTAAGCTATAGCTTGTTTAGTTTATACATAAATCCATCACTGCCTGGGCTTGTTGCGTGGTGGCCAGTTTGATGCTGCTGTTTTTGCTCCATTTATTATTACGGCTTTATTGTTATTGCTGCTATTTAACATTTAGTTTAGCCCTAGCATTGTGCTAGGCACTGAACAGAATTAACAGGGTCTCTGCTTCCAAGGGCTTACAATCTACATTCACTGAAGAACAGAGCCAGGAAGGAGAGACCTGGGGATGTCAAAAGACTAGATGCATCAGTTGACGTTGGAGGGTGCAGTCGAGCTGAGATTTCTCATGCTCCAGGCACATGGAAGGCTATTAAACAATAGGGAAGGGGCAGGCAACCTAAAGCCCGTGGGCCGGATGCAGCCCAATTGCCTTCTCAATCCGGCCCACAAACGGTCCAGGAATCAGCGTGTTTTTACATGAGTAGAATGTGTGCTTTTCTTTAAAATGCATCTCTGGGTTATTTGTGGGGCATAGGAATTTATTCATTATTCCCCCCCAAAAAATATATAGTCCGGCCCACCGCATGGTCTGAGGGACAGTGGACCGGCCCCCTGCTGAAAAAGGTTGCTGACCCCTGCCCTAGGGAGATGGTGTGAGTAAAGTGATACCTTGGGTTACATACACTTCAAGTTACAGACTCCACTAACCCAGAAATAGTAGCTCAGGTTAAGAACTTTGCTTCAGGATGAGAACAGAAATCGTGCTCTGGCGGCATGGCAACAGCAGGAGGCCCCATTAGCTAAAGTGGTGCTTCAGGTTAAGAACGGTTTCAGGTTAAGAACGGACCTCCGGAACGAATTAAGTACATAACCCAAGGTACCGCTGTACTGTTTTTGTTTGGTCCTTTATCAGCCTGGAAGAGTGGTGCAGAGTAGCCCCTTCTTAACCTACTCCCTTCCACCTTAAAACTTTTTAGTTTAGAGAAAAGACAAGTAAGGGGGAGAAATGATGGGAGTTCATACCATTATTCGTGGTATGAAGAAAGTGGGTGGAGGGATGTTTTTCTCCCTCTCTAGTAACACTAGAATTCGTGGGCATCAGGGAAGCTGAACATTGGGAGGTTCAGGCCAGACAAAAGTGCTTCTTTGCGCAGTGCAAAGTTACTCCCTTTCCAGATCTTGGGAAGTTAATAAAAGTAAAGGTAAAGGGACCCCTGACCATTAGGTCCAGTTGTGGCCGACTCATCTCGCTTTATTGGCCGAGGGAGCCGGCGTACAGCTTCCGGGTCGTGTGGCCAGCATGACTAAGCCGCTTCTGGCGAACCAGAGCAGCGCACGGAAACGCCGTTTACCTTCCCACCGGAGCGGTACCTATTTATCTACTTGCACTTTGACGTGCTTTTGAACTGCTAGGTTGGCAGGAGCAGGGACTGAGCAACGGGAGCTCACCCCGTCGCGGGGATTCGAACCACCAACCTTCTGATCGGCAAGCCATAGGCTCTGTGGTTTAACCCACAGCGCCACCCGCGTCTCTCTCTGTTCTGCCTTGGTCAGACCACACCTGTGTCCAGTTCTGGGCGCCACAATTTAAGAAGCATATTGACAAGCTGGAACGTGTGCAGAGGAAGGCGACCAAGATGATCAGGGGTCTGGAAAGCAAGCCTGATGAGGAACGGTTGAAGGAGCTGGGTTCATTTAGCCTGGATGAGAGGAGATTGGAGAGTTACAAGAAAGGAGATTCTGACTAAACAGGAAGAACTTTCTGACAGTAAACGCTGTTTGACAGTGGGTTTGGGCTGGATAACCGTCAGAGTCCCTTCCAGCTCGACCGTTCTATGATTCTATGATCCTGTGATCCACCAGTTCCGTTGAGTACTTCTGATCATTCTTCTCCACCCAGTCATCTTCAGGTTGGTAGGTCCCTTTCAGAACATCAAGCCTCTCGGATAGGCTTCTTGTGTCAGGAGCGAGGATGATGTTGTAGATCAGAGAGGCCACAATGCCGCCCGCCAGAGGTCCCACCCAAAAGATCTGAAGAAGTGCAAACAAAACATAGGTCTTTGGTGAGTCACTCCTCAATGGAATCATTCCCAATTGGAGCAGCTACAGAGCTGTTTCCCCCCCCTTCTCGGCCAGTAGGGGTGCTATTGAGGTATACCACACCATCATAGAGTTGGAAAGGACCTTGACAAGACAGAAGTACTGTTTTGGGGGGACAGGGGGAGGGCAGGTGTGGAGGACTCCCTGGTACAGAATGGGGTAACTATGCCCCTGAAGGACCAGGTGCGCAGCCTGGGAGTCATTTTGGACTCACAGCTGTCCATGGAGGCTCAGGTCAATTCTGTGTCCAGGGCAGCTGTCTACCAGCTCCATCTGGTACGTAGGCTGAGACCCTGCCTGCCTGCGGACTGTCTTGCCAGAGTGGTGCATGCTCTGGTTATCTCCCGCTTGGACTACTGCAATGCGCTCTATGTGGGGCTACCTTTGAAGGTGACCCAGAAACTACAACTAATCCAGAATGCAGCAGCTAGACTGGTGACTGGGGGCAGCCGCCAAGACCACATAACACCGGTCTAGAAAGACCTACATTGGCTTCTGCCCAGACGCTGAGGTCCAGCGCCGAGGGCCTTCTGGCGGTTCCCCCATTGCGAGAAGCAAAGCTACAGGGAACCAGGCAGAGGGCCTTCTCGGTAGTGGCGCCCGCCCTGTGGAACGCCTTCCCATCAGATGTCAAAGCGATAAACAACTACCTGACATTCAGAAGACATCTTAAGGCAGCCCTGTTCAGGGAAGTTTTTAATGTGTGACATTTTAGTATATTTTTGGTCTCTGTGGAAGCTGCCCAGAGTGGCTGGGGAAACCCAGCCAGATGGGCGGGGTACAAATAATATATTATTATTATTATTATTATTATTATTATTATTATTATTATTTCCATCCTCTGCTCAGAATGCATAATGGGGCAAGGATCCAAGATATGCCAACCATGTTCTGCTGCCAAGTGCAGTCTCGCTATAGCCTATCCCACTGGGACATAGCAGTTGGCCAGAGCTTTGGAACTGTCTCGAGGTGCTCGAAGGAAATGGTTCTGGATCCATGCACGATGTAGCTGTACTCTGAAATACTTTTATGTTTTGTGCTCACCATTCCTGTTACCTATGGCCAACGTCAGCTCCTGACATCACACATCAACATTATCAACTGGAGCTGCTCCCAGAGATAATAGACAATTGGCCGATCCTGCTTGTGCCACTGCCGCATAAACACTGCAAGTATTTTACCCATAGGGAGGAGTTAAGCCTTGAAATGTCTCTGTGATCCCTATAATGCAATTCTCGGGGCACAACAGTACTATTTGTTCCAATTCTGTATAATCACAGGAGACTCTCAAAACAACTCTGAGCCTCACATCCTTTTGTTAAAAAGCATAGTGGAAGAAAAATCTTAGACGCGCACCATAATTTAAAGCAAGGAATCATGGGAAATGCAGTTTGTTAAGGGTACTGCGACTTGCAGCTCTGTTAGAGGTAAACTACAATTCCCAGAATTCTGGCAACTGTTGTTTACCCGTTAAGGAACTCCAGTGACCCAAGATTCTTCTGTTCCTTATTCTGGGTCGAAAGAAAGGTGAGCCGCGTCGAGTCCCTGATCTTGCTAGAGTTGGCTGACTTCCTTTCACATTACTCCAGCATCTAATTTATCACTTGAGCATGTAAGCAAATTAAAGGCTGAAGCAAACGGAGGAATGATTATCTCAGGATAACAGATTGTCTAAACAGGGGCCCTAAGATAAGGCCCATAGCTCATCTATCAATTTCCACACCCGTATTTCATAAACAACTGATTTTAATTAAGACAGAGCCCGACAAGAATTGAGTCTTGTTTGTATACGTCTAATTAATGCACCGGCCATTCATCCATGTGCCAGGGCCTGGAAGACAGGATCTTGCCCTTTCTATGCCCGTTTTCTAAGACCCTGGAAATCTGCTGCTAATCGGGGATGAGGGTGGTAGAAAATCAGACCCTCCAAGTGCCCCTATTTTCCAGGGACAGTTGTGGATTTACAGAAGCTGTCCTGGTTTCTGATTTGATCCCGGAATGTCCCTCTTTTCCTCAGGATGTCCCTATTTTCATCAGAGAAATGTTGAAGGGTATGGTAGGATGTTCCCATTTTCTTTGGAGAAATGTTGGATGATATGGCATACCCCCCAATGTTTCTCTGATGAAAATAGAGACGTAGTCAATCACCACCATCATCATTTATATTCTGGCCATCTGTGACTGGGTTGTCTCAGCCACTCTGGGCAGTTTCCAACATATATTAAGGTAAAGGTCAAGGTACCCCTGACCATTAGGTCCAGCTGCAGACGACTCGGGGTTGCGGCGCTCATCTCGCTTTATTGGCCGAGGGAGCCGGTGTACAGCTTCCGGGTCATGTGGCCAGCATGACTGAGCCTCATCTGGTGAACCAGAGCAGCGCATGGAAACACCGTTTACCTTCCTGCCGGAGCGTGACCTATTTATCTACTTGCACTTTGACGTGCTTTCGAACTGCTAGGTTGGCAGGAGCAGGGACCGAGCAACGGGAGCTCACCCCGTCGCGGGGATTCGAATCGCCGACCTTCCGATCAGCAAGCCCTAGGCTCAGTGGTTTAGACCACAGCGCCACCCGCGTCCCTCCAACATATATTAAAACATAATAAAGTATTAAGCATTTTTTTTAAAATCTCCTAAAAAAGACTGCCTTCTGATGTCTTCTAAAGGTTGTATAGTTACTTATCGCCTTAGCTCAGGGCTTGCATAACTCCATACCCTCCAATATTTCTTCAATGAAAATAGGGACATCCTAAGAAAAATCGTGAAATAGGGACACTTGGAGGGTTATGTGACCCCCGAGCCAAAGAGATAAGTAACTTTAGAAGACATCTGAAGGCAGCCCTGTGTTGGGAAGTTTTTTGGGTTTTTTTAGTGTTTAATGTTTTGTTATGTTTTTATATATGTTGGAAGCCACCTAGAGTGACTGAGGCAACCTAGTCAGATGGGCAGGGTATAAATAATTAAATTATTATGTTTATGGAATAGGACGTCCCTATTTTCATCAGAGAAACGTCGGAAAATGTGGGGGAAGGTGGGAATGTCTACTTGTGTCCTTCATCTCCTAGCAATATCAGGGCCCATCACAAGCCTGATTTTGAAGTCTCAGGTGGCAACTGGAAGGAAGAACTTACCCAATGATCTTGGAAGTTTGCCATTATGACAGCGGGGCCAAAAGACCGTGCAGGATTCATCGAGCAGCCCGTGAAATAGATCTGGAAGGTAATAATGGTGGGGAAATGTCATTGCATAACGATGGGTAGAGCAAAAGGCCCTAACACCTTTCCATATTTTATTGCAATGTTTTTGTAAGTAACTCGCCCTGGGGCCTAGCATTGAAGGTAAGTGGCAATCTGGTGTCCATTGGGACTGGCAGGGAAAACAGCAGGGAGGTCAACTGTAGGTGGCGCCAGAGAGCCAATGACAGGCAGAGCCAACTGATGCTGGCTTTGCTCCCATCCTCCTCCCTGCTGAGTTCTATGATGGCAAGACAAAGGAGGAAGAATATGACAGCTAGCGCCACCCCTGGCCCTAGATGAAACTTGGAAAGCAGGCAGATGAGGGGCTGGTTAGGGGCAGACAGAGGTTGGTGGGGCAATGCCCCATTCACCCCAACAGACCAGCTTCCACTGGGTGAAGGGCAGGTACAAAAATCAAATAGAACAACAGTAATTGTCGTTATGGGCACCCACAGAGACAATGGAGTGTGCCTCCAGGGGTGAATACAAACCGCTGCAATATTATCACTGACGTGACCTCCCTGGGGCACAAGCCTGGGCAGTGGGTATGGAGGTCCTGGGCTGCCCAGACAATAATACTGCTTTCTCGGCCTCGCAGATGTGATCCAAAGGAAAGCAGAGCAATACGTTTGACCCCAGCTTGGAGGCAGGAGTTGAAGAGACGTGCAAGACATCATCCAACCGTCTTAGGGACTCCACTCCAGATGTGTGTTGAGTTTACCCCTTAGCCTTTTCTTCTCCTGAAGATATCCCTCAAGGCAGTGGAGGTTTAGGACCAGAGTTTTGCTTCTCCTAGATAGGCTACCTTCCCAGGTTGACTGGCCCCATCTTCTCCTCGCTTCCCTCTACAGCATATGCAGAAACGGCCTCCTTGACCGTTTCACTGGCAAAATGCTGGATAGCTTTTATACGAAGGAACCAGGCCACTGGTTCTACACACATGGTTCCTCCATACACTTATTACTGGCTAATAGGAGCACCAGGGACCTGCCTGTTAGGATATACCGTATTTTTTGCTCTATAAAAAGGTAAAGGTACCCCTGCCCGTACGGGCCAGTCTTGCCAGACTCTGGGGTTGTGCGCCCATCTCACTCAAGAGGCCGGGGGCCAGTGCTGTCCGGATACACTTCCGGGTCACGTGGCCAGCGTGACATTGCTGCTCTGGCAAGCCAGAGCCGCACACGGAAACGCTGTTTACCTTCCCGCTAGTAAGCGGTCCCTATTTATCTACTTGGACCCGGGGGTGCTTTCGAACTGCTAGGTTGGCAGGTGCTGGGACCGAGCAGCAGGAGCGCACCCCGCCGCGGGGATTCGAACCGCCGACCTTTCGATCGGCAAGCCCTAGGCACTGAGGCTTTTACCCACAGCGCCACCCGCGTCCCTTTTTGCTCTATAAGACTCACTTTTTCCCTCCTAAAAAGTAAGGGGAAATGTCTTATGGAGCGAATGCAGGCTGCGCAGCTATCCCAGAAGCCAGAACAGCAAGAGGGATTGCTGCTTTCACTGCGCAGTGATCCCTCTTGCTGTTCTGGCTTCTGAGATTCAGAATATTTTTTTTATTGTTTTCCTCCTCCAAAAACGAGGTGCATCTTGTGGTCTGGTGCGTCTTATAGAGCGAACAATACGGTAGTTCCGTTCCACCTTAAAAGGAGCAGGCATGACTGGTGTGTCACATGCCTGTTTACTTGCTGGGAACTTCTGTTTGTATATAGCTTTTGTGTTACTGCTGTTTTGCTGGAGACGAAGGGAAGCAGACATGCTTTCCTCTGTTCATGATCTATGCTGAATAAAATGCTGTACATTATGCTTACACATTTCTCTGTCCGCCTCTTCTGCTGTGAGAAGATTTACACACTCTGCTGATAGAGCATGCACAGGTCTCTAAACGTATCTGAGGCTCGTGTCGCTGATTGATGCTGTTCCAAGGGAGACCGGCTGCTGACCGGTGGCTGGAGCCAGCTGGGAGCCTTCCTGATGCCCCCGTCTTCCTGGCAGTATCCCAACCCTGCCTCCCTCCCACCCCAAATGCCATAGCACCCCCTACTGGAATGCAATGGTAAAGAACTGTGGAGCCATCTCATCTGAGGAACACACCCTGTACCATTGCTCTGCCCGGCTGAGATAACAACACTCACCCCTAGGAAATGGCCGACCGTGACTGAAAGTCCGATAGATAACGCCGGGGAGCCCACAACATCAGTTCTGCGGCTGTCCGTCGAGGCGAAGACGCAGAGGACCAGCAGGAAGGTCAGAATCAGCTCTACTGCAACTGCCTGTCCTGCTCCTGTGTTGTTGTGCAGCTGCAAAGATTAGGGAAGTTGTGAAGGAGGAGGAAGCACGGGAAGAGGCAGCCTTTGAGTCTTGGCAAAGGCAGAGAGAGACAGCAGACACAATTACCATCCATCTCCCCCAGGCGGCAGCGTTTAGTGAACAAAAGTTAGGTGGCCCCCATGGGGTTGATTTCCAGGAAGAGCTGACAATTCCAAGGGTTGGTCGGGCCATAAAACACCGACTTGCCGGCTTAGCATGGACGGGCTGCCCTGCTGAATGACGCAGCTAATTATGTGCCCGTCCGTCTGATCGTCTCGGAAGCCCTCCCAGGCCCAAATGTGTGTTTTCCCAGCAGGATCAGCACCAAAGGAGAAATCGAGAGTCTAGTAATTAAGTCGTGCTGGTGTTCGCTGGAGCCCTGCCAGCAACTAACTTCTAAAGGAAATAGGAGTATCTGGATATAACAAGTCGGCTTAGAAGCTTCCACACTTGCTAACCTGCCGGCCAGCTTCATCATCGCAGAAGCACCCAGTGCTGGTTCTCTAGGGCATGAGATGGAGAACCCTCTATGCTCCTCTCAGGGGTTGCTGGACTACAGACCCCCATCACTCTCCTGACCGTTGGCCGTGTCAGCTGGTGCTGTTGGGAACTGAAGTGTGCCAACATCAGGAGAACAGCAAGTTGCTCCCATCCCTGCTCTAGGGTGGCTGGATTCAATGGAGGACAAAGACCCCCTGTCCCGGTTGCACAGAATTTTGGCAAGTGCTGCTTTTTCTCACTCCTCTTTGGCAAGATGCGTAGGCCGACATCCCCTGTTGTTTAAAGGAAAACCTGTAACTGACCTCTTTGGGCACTTTGGAGATAAAAAAGGGTGGTTTCTGGTGGTTTCGTTATGTCTCAATAATAATAATTGTATTATTTATACCCTGCCCATCTGGCTGGGTTTCCCCTGCCATTCTGGGTGGCTTCCAGCACATATAATAAAACATGAAAAACGTCCCGATACAAGGTTGCCTTCTAAAAATCAGATAGTTGTTTATTTCCTTGACATCTGATACAAGGTTGCCTTCAGATGTCTTCTAAAAACCAGATACAGTCATACCTCGGGTTACAGAATCTTCAGGTTGCATTTTTTTGGGTTACAGACGCACTGAAACCCGGAAGTACCAGAATGGGTTACTTCTGGGTTTTGGCGGTCGCACATGCGCAGAAGCGCTAAATCACGCTTTGCGCATGAGTAGAAGCGCCGAATCGAACCCTCACGTGCACTGTGGGTTGTGAACACAGTGGGTTGCGAACGTGCCTCCCACACAGATCACATTCGCCACCCAAGCGTCCACTGTAGTTGTTTATTTCCTTGACATCCACAGGACAGGTGCCACCACCGAGAAGGCCCTCTGCCTGGTTCCCTGTAACCTCACTTCTCACAGTGAGGGAACTGCCAGAAGGCCCTCGGAGCTGGACCTCAGTGTCCGGGCTGAACGATGGTGGGGTGTGGAGACACCCCTTTAGCATCTTTAAGGTGATTTGCCCTTTGTTTTAAACTGTATGCATTACAACAAGCCTATAAGTATACTGTTTTCCCTTTGCTGTGTTCTTTTGAAAAATACACCACTAATGTACTATTATTGCACTGAGAATACATCGCAGAAGATGTCCACAATAAAACCCACTGGTCTGGAGAAGCCCCCAGTCACTTCTGTGATGTTCCATTCTGATTCTGGATTTATGGCTGCCATTGCCAGAGAAGATCCCTTCCCACTTTGTCAAACAAGGGAATGCAGTTCCTTGGGATGGTGATATTGTACCTACCTAAAGATCCAAAGAGAATTGTACAGCGGTACCTCGGGTTACAGATGCTTCAGGTTACAGACTCCGGTAACCCACAAATAGTACCTCGGGTTTAGAATTTTGCTTCAGGATGAGAACAGAAATCGCGCGGTGGCGGCAGTGGGAGGCCCCATTAGCCAAAGTGGTGTCTCAAGTTAAGAACAGTTTCAGGTTAAGAACGGACCTCCGAAACGAATTAAGTTCTTAACCCGAGGTACCACTGTAGTTGGAATCAAGACCATGCCGGTGTGACAAAGTTTTCATAGCACTCTGCTGGAGAGCCTGTAGATGATCTAGATTCGCCGGGCCACTGAAATAACCAGAAGCAACTTGCACTGCTCTGATTGTAGCTGAGGACAAGCACAATCCCTTGGCTGAACTCCACATCCATTTGTATAGCTGCCAAAAACCTTCTGCAATCGAAGCTCAGGCTTTTTTTGGCAGCGGCCCAGCTATCTCCTCTCCAGCCTAACCCTATTGGCTTTAGGCAAGAGGGTTGTTCACACGTTACAATGGACACAGGTTCATCGTACTCTACACCTGCACAAATGCTTGTCTAAAACAATGTACACTTGTGTATTTGTGCATTTGTGCAGTCCAGCTATTGTGTACACAGGCACACAGACTGTACACTCGTTCAATGTAAGGTGTAGACACCCCTAAGGCCTGGCAATACAGTCGTACCTTGGATCTCAAACGCCTTGGCTCCTGAACAAATTGGCTCCCGAGCGATTGAAACCCGGAAGTGAGTGCTCTGGTTTTCTAACATTCTTTTGGAACCTGAACGTCCGACACGGGTTTTCCACGGCTTCTGATTGGCTGCAGGAGCTTCCTGCAGCCAATCGGAAGTCGTGCTTTGGTTTCCGAATGTTTTGGAAGTTGAACAGACTTCCGGAACAGATTCCGTTTGACTTCCAAGGTACGACTGTATATGTGTTGTTGTTGTTGTTGTAGTAGTTGTTGTTGTTGTTGTTGTGTGTAAAGAAGGCAGGAAGAAAACAAAGCACATAAAACACAAAATAATATATTACGTACAATATTAACTGTATAATTAAAAACAATGTATTTTTTTTAAAAAAAACAGTGGGAAATATAGAATAATTATATTAAAATGGTAGAAAACAACATAAAGTATTAATAATTTTAAAATTAAGACAGGATCCTGTGCCAACAAGCTTTTGCTGCTGCACAAAATCCTCTAATTGCTGATAATAACTGGCAGTGAGCCACCACTGGGAAGGACCATAGGGGTAATCTCCAGCACTCATTATGAACCCTGATGGATTTTGAAGTCTCCACACTCACAGGACTATAAATTGGCTATAATGCCAATGGGTTTGTAGAATGGCACTTGGCCATGGTGTGCCCCACGATATGATGTTCTTCCAGCCAGGGGAGGGCATAACATGTTTCCTCCAGGTAGCATTAGGGATGGAGAATTTATGGTTCTCCAGATGTTTTTGGACTCCAACCCCCATTAGCTCCAACCAGCATGGTCAATAGTCACAGACCCTGCAAGTGTCCCTATTTTCCAGGGACCATCCCGGATTTACAGAAGCTGTCCCAGTTTCTGATTTGATCCTGGAACGTCCCAATTTTCCTTAGGACGTCCCTATTTTCATCAGAGAGATGCTGGAGGCCACAGAGTTATGCCACCCCCCAAACCAAGGAGATAATTAACTATACAACCTTCAGAAGACATCTGGAGGCAGCCCTGTATAGGGAAGTTTTCTTAATGCTTTATAATGTTTTCATATATGTTGAAAGCCACCTAGAGTAGGACTGCCATATGTCTGGAATTTCCCAGACGTAACCGGAATATGGCAGTCGAAAACCGGTAGAAGTCTTGATTTTGGCAAACCCCTTAAAAATAACTCAAAATTTTTTCTTTTCTTTTCTGAGATTTTGGGGGAAAAAGAAGAAGCTTAACATCTTCAGATGGGTGGGGTAATAATAATAATAATAATAATAATAATAATAATAATACTATGGAATAGGATGTCCCTATTTCCATCGGCAAAATATTGGAGGGTATATAATCTATGGCAGAGGTCAGCAAACTTTTTCAGCAAGGGGGCCGGTCCACTGTCCCTCAGACTTTGGGGGGGGGTGGACTATATTTTGAAAAAAGAAAAGAAAAAAAGAGCGAATTCCTATGCCCCACAAATAACCCACAGATGCATTTTAAATAAAAGGACACTTTCTACTCATGTAAAAACACACTGATTCCCGGACTGTCCACGGGCAGGACTGAGAAGGCGATTGGGCCGGATCCAGCCCCCAGGCCTTAGTTTGCCTACCCATGAACTACGGTGATGGAAGTTGTAGTTCAGCAACACTGGTAGGGCCTCAGGTTCTCCAACCCTGCATTAGGTGGTTCAATCCTGCATATGCTTACCTGGTATTAAGACCCACGAAATTTAGCAGGACTGACCCCTTGCCATTTTCCTCAGCCAGGACAATAGGAATACATGTGTCAGCAGCACTTACCGCATTGACGGCCAGGGTCCCTCGGATATCGGCTGGAGTGAGCTGGTGGATCACCCCTGCCCCAGCTATCGCTCCCAACATCTGAGCCACAACGTAGGCCACCGATCGTACCACTGAAATCTTTTGTGCCACGAGGAGGGCCACTGTCACCGCTGGGTTGATGTGAGCCCCGCTGACATGGCCCACGGACTGGACGAGGGTGGCGATGGCCAAGCCAAAGGCCATGGAAATCTGCACCATCTGTGGGAGTGCCGACGGCCAATTCAAGGCCGAGCCCACCCCGATAAGCACAAATATCATGGTGGCCAAGAACTCGGCAAAGACGGCTCTGAAAAAGGCCAACGAGCAAGCTTCATTCTTCATGGCGGAAGCGGCAATTGGGAAGTCAAGCCACGGTGCAGAAAGGGATTGCCACGATCTTTCCTTCTGCCAGAGGAATGATGGGCGGAATATATATCTAGGGAAAGGATGAAAAATAGGGTGGGACTGGGAACGGGAGATGCGGTTCCTGGGAAAGCGCCCATCTCCTGCCTCTGAAACCCTGACCTTCCTTGTTAGTAATACTCAGCTGTGCCATTTTGTTGCTTGGTGATTTATGACCCTGCTTGACTTTCGGTTGCATGCAGAGAAGGATCCTCCTGAATTCTTCCAAAGAAAACTCCCGCAAAGTGTCCTTTGATTTCGATTTGTATCCTCTCGGTCCCTTTGCATAACGCAGACCTGCCCAGCCTGCGGTCCACCAAGTTAAATGCTGCCCGCCAGTTTCGAATGGCTGCTTGCCAGGGACATTAGTGCTGGTTTTGCTGCCTGCCATCAGAGTCTTTAAAAAAAAACACAAAACACACACACACACGCACAACAGTGGCATTGCCAAGAACCTGCCAGGCCACAGTGCACACAGCTAGCAGGCTGTGTTCTGCTTGTTGGGTCACAAGATGGGCATACTTCACAAAGCATATTCAAGGTCGCTTCCAAGCAACCTGTTTCTTGTTGTTTTTCAAGCATTCTTCCTGATGGGTTTATGGGGGAAGTTAGATGGCATTGGACCAAGCAGACATTATGTGCGCATTCCAGCGCATTTCTCCATTACTTTCCTTCCAGCAAACAGGGAGGGGAGTGGGTTTGTTGCGCAAGAGCTCCAATCCATTATAATTGCACAACTCAAATTTGCTAGGTTGAAACCCACCTGAAAATAGCAACAGTCTGTGAGCACTCCAAGAGTCTGGAAATAATTGTGCAAGGACTGCTGAATTTTGCATGACTATTATTGTTATTATTATGATGCCCAGTCCATCTGGCTGGGTATATACTCTGCATCCAGACTGATTTTGTTTGCCTGTTTTACGTTTCTTTTTCAGATAGATTCCCAAGGTTGCTGTTCCCCCCACAGTTTTAAGTCTTTGTTAGGACGTGGGTGGCGCTGTGGGTAAAAGCCTCAGCGCCTAGGGCTTGCCGATCGAAAGGTTGGCGGTTCGAATCCCCGCGGTGGGGTGCGCTCCCGTCATTCGGTCCCAGCGCCTGCCAACCTAGCAGTTCGAAAGCACCCCCGGGTGCAAGTAGATAAATAGGGACTGCTTACTAGCGGGAAGGTAAACAGCGTTTCCGTGTGCGGCTCTGGCTCACCAGAGCAGCGATGTCACGCTGGCCACGTGACCCGGAAGTGTCTGCGGACAGCGCTGGCCCCCGGCCTCTTGAGTGAGATGGGCGCACAACCCTAGAGTCTGGCAAGACTGGCCCGTACGGGCAGGGGTACCTTTACCTTTACTTAGGAGTCATTGATAAAATCAGAAGGAATCCTTCTAGTACAGGGGTCAGCAAATCTTTTCAGCAGAGGGCCGGTCTACTGTCCCTCAGACCTTGTGGGGGGCCAGACTATATTTTGAAAAAAGAAAAGAAAAAAGAATGAATTCCTATGCCCCACAAAAAACCCAGAGATGCATTTTAAAGAAAAGCACACATTCTGCTATTGTAAAAACACCAGGCAGCCCCCACAAAAAACATTCTACATTCTACTCATGTAAAAACACGCTGATTCCCAGACCGTCGACGGGCCGGATTGAGAAGGCAATTGGGCCAGATCCGGCCCCTGGGCCTTATTTTGCCTACCCATGTTCTAGTATAACAGACCCTCCAAAATCCTGCAGAGGAAAATTGGGATGCACATTTTTAGGGGCTCCACTCTTGTGGCAGCCAGGTGACTCAAGAGAGAGAGCACAACCCCCGAAAGCGGGTGTCTTTGGGGGTCATGTTCTCATGGGAATCAAAAGGGGCCATCCCAGGTTCCAATCAGGCTTGTGTAATTCCGGGGTGTCCTGCTCAAAGCAGGACAGTTGAGGGGTATGCTAGCAGTTTTGTTGCTACACCTCTGGGCGGGGACTTCTGCCACCTGCCTCATCTTCAGTTGCCATGTTGCCCCATAATGCGCTTGCTAGCTCCCACCTCAGTCACCATGCATTTGGCAGCTGTGTGAAAGGAAGTCTAGTGTGTAGATCTGGGTGCTTGGAGGGCTCCCGCAGGTGAGCAGGAATGCTACAGGGATATAATAGCAAAATCCCATGTGTAACTGTCTGAGGGACGTGGTTGGCGCTGTGGGTTAAACCACTGAGCCTAGGGCTTGCCGATCAGAAGGTCGGCGGTTCGAATCCCCGCGACGGGGTGAGCTCCCGTTGCTCGGTCCCTGCTCCTGCCAACCTAGCAGTTCGAAAGCACGTCAGAGTGCAAGTAGATAAATAGGTACCGCTCCGACGGGAAGTTAAACGGCGTTTCCATGCACTGCTCTGGTTCGCCAGAAGCAGCTTAGTCCTGCTGGCCACATGACCCAGAAGCTGTACGCCGGCTCCCTCGGCCAATAAAGTGAGATGAGTCGGTCACGAATGGACCTAATGGTCAGGGGTCCCTTTACCTTTACTTTTATTAACTTCCCAAGATCTGGAAAGGGAGTAACTTTGCGCTGCCCAAAGAAGCACTTTTGTCTGGCCTGAACCTCCCAATGTTCAGCTTCCCTGATGCCCACGAATTCTAGTGTTACTAGAGAGGGAGGAAAACATTCCTCCACCCATTTTCTTCATACCACAAATAATGGTATGAACTCCCATCATTTCTCCCCCTTACTTGCAGCCTTAAGCCTTTGGCACAGAATTCAGCTCTGCTTTTGGCACCAGGCCATTGCGTGCTGTTTTAGAGAAAGCCACAAATCACGTCCATAAAGTCCCTCTGTGGGAACGCCCTGGCCAAATGCGTTTCGCATTGTGAAAGGCACAAATGGAGCGACCTCAATGCCCTTGCGGGTGCAAAAGGTAAAAGCAGCCATGTCAGAGTGAAGAGGAAGAAAAATGTCAAGGTATAGTATGGAGAGAGTTTGCCACAAGTAGCCAACAAAAGCATGGGTATTTTGGTTCCCAGAGATGATTAAGTTCCTCGAATGATCAAACTGAATTTAAACAGTTTGATGACAGAGATATTTCTCAGTTTAGTAAGGTGGCCTTTATTTAGGCTTAGTATTTGGAGTATGGTTACTACACAATATGAATATCTTGCCATGGAAAATTTATGTGCTCGTGGTATTCTTTTATATATCCCCCAAGTATATTTTCAAAAATTTAACACGATATTTCAGAAGTGTATTTGAGGGACTTCTCCACCTCATTTTTTACTCTTTAAAAATGCAGCTCTCCGTATCGAAATGAGGATTAAATTTTCCCGATCTTAGTTCATACCAGGGTTACCAACCTTTTAGACCAGTGGGCACATTTGGAATTTTGAGAGAGGGCATAACACAAAATGGCTGCCATGGGGCATAATACAAAATTAGAGAGACAGGCACCCCCAACAACATGTTTACCATGGCAAGCCAGCTATGTCCTGCTAGTCAAGCCTGTGGAGATCACAAAAATATTGATTTTTACACACGCACAGACACACTGATGTTGTTGCTTTCAGTATCAGGAAAAATTCACAAGGTGATTACATCACACTCACTCTCATTTCACAGAAATCACTTAGATTTTGCATATTTTACCCCCAAACTTTCTCATAGGTCTATATACTTTCTTTTTATTATTGTTGTTGAAAGCAAAGAGTCTGGGCCCAGTGGCATCAGTGAAAGCCTTCAGGGTTATATTCCTTATACAGTACCATAAGGAATATATTTTTGCTCATACAAGTGATTGGTAAGTTTTTCCCCCTGCAAAGACCTCTGCATGGGTGATCACAGAAATGATGTACATCACTTTATGGATGGATGGCGCTAGAATCTATGTATATAAAAAGAAAGGAGTATTTCCCCTTGCAGTTTTAGCAGCTGGAAAGGCACTGATTATATTGCTTCGTCAGTTATATTTTGACCTATGTGTTCATGCTGAATTAAGTCTATGGGGTAACCCAGATTTGAAGACAGAGAAGAAGATCTGTTTGAGAAACGGACTCAAAGTGGAATTTATGCATCAGACCATAAATTAGATGGAGTATTTTATTTTTATTTTATTTTTTGCCATTTTTATTTTTATTTTATTTTTTGCCATTTTCAATATCGCTGTTAAGAAACCACCAATCCACAAGTAGTGAATGACAATATCTTCAAATTTACAGCCTTTGGGTGTATATTTATGGATGGTCAGCTTTGAGTGCTTCAGTATCTCCCAGATTGCTAGAGGGAATAATTGGATATTTAAAGAACGGCAGATCTGTTCTTGTTTATAAATATTTATTGGAATATCGTAAAGTGGATGTTCAGGATCTTCGAGATGAGTGGAATAAGGAGGTAGAGCAGGTTCACCAGCTGCTGCCTTTCCTGGACCAGGGTAGTCTTGCTACAATAATACATGCACTGGTGACTTCCCATTTAGACTGCTACAGCGTGCTCTACATGGGGCTGCCTTTGAAGACAGCTTGGTGCGAAATGTTGCCGACAGATGGTTGAGCTGCAGAAATAGGTGTGATAATGGACAGGGTGGCATTTAAGGTGCTCATTGTGGTGCATAAAACACTTGAGTACTTAAAGGAGCAGTTCTTTCTGTATCCGCCAGACCGTAATCTGAGATCCACTGGGGAGAGACCATAATTGCAGCCTGAACCCCAGTGACATCTTCTTCTTTGTTGAATTTATATACCGTCCTATACCCAGGGATCTCAGGGCGTTTCGCGGAATAAAATCAAGATATAAAACCGCAAAATAAAAATAAAAACAACAACCCAATAAAACACAAAAAACCCACATTTTAAAAGGGCAAAGGATGTAAATCAGATCAACCAAGGCCTGGTTAAAAAGCAACATTTTTGCCTGGCATCTAAAGGTGTACAGTGGTACCTCAGGTTAAGAACTTAATTTGTTCTGGAGGTCTGTTCTTAACCTGAAACTGTTCTTAACCTAAAGCACCACTTTAGCTAATGGGGCCTCCCGCTGCCACTGCACCGCTGCTGTAAAATTTCTGTTCTTATCCTGAAGCAAAGTTCTTAACCTGAGGTACTATTTCTGCGTTAGCGGAGTCTGTAACCTGAAGCGTATGTAACCTGAAGTGTATGTAACCTGAGGTACCACTGTATAATGAAGGAGCCAGGCAAACTTCCCTGGGGAGAGCATTCCACAGACGGGGAGCCACTGCAGAGAAGGCCCCGTTCTCGTGTTGCCACCCTCCGGACCTCTCGAGGAGGAAGCACATGAAGAAGGGCCTTAGAAGATGATCTCAGGGTCCAGGTGGGTTCATATGGAAAGAGGCGGTCCTTGATGTATTACGGTCCTGAGCCATTTAAGGCTTTGAAGTGAGAGCTGGA